GGGCATGGAGAAGAAGAAGAAGAAGAAGAACTGGTGAAGAAGAAGAAGAAGAAGAAGAAGAAGAAGAAGAAGAAGAAGAACTGGCGAAGGAGAAGAAGAAGAAGAAGAAGAAGAAGAACTGGCGAAGAAGAAGAAGAAGAAGAAGGGAAGAAGAAGGGAAGAAGAAGGGAAGGAGGGGAAGAAGAAGAAGAAGAAGAAGAAGGGAAGAAGAAGGGAAGAAGAAGGGAAGGAGGGGAAGAAGAAGAAGAAGAAGAAGAAGAAGAAGAAGAAGAAGAAGAAGAAACGAAGACGAAGAAGAAGAAGAAGAAGAAGAAGAAGAAGAAGAAGAAGAAGAAGATCTCTCTCTCTCTCTCTCTCACCCCCCAACTAAGTCCCTTACCTTGTTGAAGGCGGCCGTTGGCAGGCAACGGCGGGGTCACGCGCGATGGCGGGCATTGGCAGGTGCTGGCGGGGTGCATCGAAGAAGCGAGTTGAAGTTGCGCGTCGAAGGCCGGCGGAAACACAGTGCTGCAAGGCAGGGAAGGGGGGGGGGGGACGTCGTGGGCACATCTTCAGCACGGGGGAGGGAACGGGGCCCGGTAGTTCCCGCCCTCACCAATTTGAAATCGGTGCAATCTGGGCCGTCGATCTTCGAGATCGACGATCCAGATGGGGCCCGATTTCAAATCGGTGAAATCGATCCTACGGGCCCCTTGTTTTTTTTTTTTTGCGGTCCATACGGTCTGTGAAGGGGGCAAAAAGGGCCCCAACTCCCCCCCCCAAAAAAACAACCTAACCTACAGTGATGCTCTGGGGGCGCCCAGTGGCCAACTGGGCACGACAACCGGCCAGGCGGCCCGGCACCCCCCCCCAGGCGACGGCCAGGCCGCCGGGCGGCCTGGGGACCAGCCTAGCTTTTCAACAATCTTTCAAATTTTAAAAGTTTTTTGATTGTGCTGAGACTATCTGGGACGTTGCCTGGCGGGGCATTCTGGACGGCCAGATGTAGCCTGGCCGTCAGGAATTTCCTAGAAAGGTATCCCAGCTGCTGATAGATGACATGCAGTGTTCGCAAATACCGGTTTCTGGATTGAACGACGGCAGTGGATTCTGGTCCTGCTATGATTTATGTTACATGTGGCAACACTGCTTGGATGGTACTTGGAGTGATGTTAATTGCTAACCAGTATTGATGTGTCATCTTAATTTTCTTTGTCTTTACGTGTGAAGTCTCAGAAGAAGAAGAGGGGTGATTGGGAGAATCCAAGTAAAGAGTGCAAGCTTAAGGTGCGTTCGTGTGTGGGGTCCTGTCTATGCTCACTTTTCTAATGCAGCCATCTTTTCCCAGTTTGGCTGTACAAGCTCACTTGTTGTTGAGGTTATGAAAAAGCCAGTATTCCGTTTGTGGCTTCAACCCCCTGTTTGCAGATTTGCAAAACAGCTTTGTGCACACTACAAATCTTTAAGAGGTGCAATGTGGTGACTTGTAGCGTCTTGAGATACTTTTTCTTCTTATCGAATGACCTTGGGTGCATTTCATACAAAGAAAACACCGGAATGATCAAACACACGAACATGCATGCCAGGATATTATCACCATTAAACCAGCGATAGCCCCTGTGCTCCCTGGGGTCCCACTTGTATCTGCAGGGCCTGGTTCTGCCCAATGGACCAATTAAACCAGCAGTACTTTTGTCCTTTCCGTTGCTGGGCCTAGAAACGCCCTGCGCGCCAAAGGAGAAATGAACTGGCTCCGACCCTCTTTTGGCTGGTATCCCCAGCAGCCATTTTTCCTTGATACACCGAACCCCAAAGAACACGGCACGTGGACGGTGCATCTTCAAAAAATGGCTGGGAAACGGTCTGGTGGTTTGAAGCACAAGTACACGGCCCCAGCCTTGCAGCAAAACATCTTGTCGCACAAGATTGTTTTTGCGGCTAGGGCCTACCGGACCACAAGGGTGGCACTGCCAGCCGAAAAAGAAAAGAAGTGCCGTGCTGGCAGTCCGGAAAGTGCGCCGCTTGCGGTTCGAAAAAAGAGGCCCGGGTGTACTGGTGGTTTAAGCCAGCGGTCCCCAGTAAGCTGAGGCCCAGGTTTGGACTAAAGAGGGGCCTGTACATTGCTTGTGTCTGGTGTGTCTGACCCACCCCCTTCACCCTGACTATTCCCCACAAGTATAGAAACTGCCACTGCAGCTTTGTCTAATGAATTCACAATGTAGGCCGTGGATTGTGATCGATCCCAAGTGCAATGATAAATGGTGTGGATTGCTGCTTTGCAACAGGTATCCTGATGATTAGCCAGACCTGCTGTTCACAGTCGCATTGGCCTATGCAGGCCTATGGTGAAATATGGGTGCAGCCATGTGTTTCTGCTTCTGCATTGGTGTGTATGGCAGGTGTATCGGCACGAAGGCAAACTGGTTTTCACTTGCTTGAGGCGTGGAGAGTGGCGGACACAAAAGTCGGCTCCCTGCTGGTGGTGTGCAGTCATGCACGCCTCATCTACTCTTAACTACCAAGGCTTATATCTTATTTGAATGTGAAGAGTGCTGTGACCTTGAGAATGGCGGCCTAGCTGTTTCAGGCCTGCAAGCAGCCATCAACAAAACCTTTCGCTCGCTTCCATGTACTCCTTTTTGCAGATCTCGAGATTTTTGTTGAGGGCCTCCAGGTTTTGTTTTTAGGCGCTCAGGGCCTCTGCAAAATCTAGGCTGGCTCCCAGCAGTGGGTGGCAAGTGGACGAACAGGTAGCCCAGACTCCGGCAAAGCCCTATTTTTTGAAGTGCTGAGGGCCACCTGGTTCTGGTTTAGGCCCTCAAGGCCTCCGCAGCCTATAGCATGCTGGTGGTGTGCAGTCATGCACGCCTCATGGTTATAGGTGTTGCGACCTCCAAATACCCTCTAAATGGGCTGTCTGGCAGTGCCTGCTGCTTTTGGTTTAGGCCCTGCAAATACCACAGCTTATAAGAATGTTGTGAGCTTGAGAATGGAGGCCTACTGTCTTCACCTGAATACAATGCCCGGTCATTATAGCTGCATCTGGACTGAAATTGACCCCAAATACAGCTATGATCACCGGGCGTTCTATTCGGGTGAAGACGGTAGCTGTTACAGGCCTACAAGTAGCCATGAGCAAAACAGGTCACTTGTGGTACTCCTTTTGGCAGATTTATCAGAAGTTTTGCTGAGGGTCTCCTGGTTTTCGTCTAGGCCCTAACGCCCTGTGCAAGTTTAGGAGGCCTGTCAGCAGGGGCTGGCATGTGGATGAACAGGAGGCTGGGATCTGGCAAGGCCCCATTTTTCAGCTTGCTAGGCACACATTGGACGAGTCTTAGGCATGCGTTACATAATTTGTGATCTGTGCGAGTGCTTAATGCCCGCTCACAGCCTATTCTCTCACCTATTATCTGTTTGTTCGCGAGACCCACGTTGGCTCAACCAAGTTCGATGCTGTTGTGGATCTGATTCAGGCAGTTGCTCTCACTTTCGCAATTCAATATCCGAAACTATCAGGAGGGATCTCGCTCAGTCTCTTCAACGTGTGACCAAAATTTCTTTTCACTCATCTCTCCCTCCCTCTCTCTCTATATATATGTACATATGTACGTATGTATATACTGTAATGTAGTCTGTGTATGCCTGTGTGTATGTATGTATCTCTGTCTAGCTCTCATTCTCCCTTCATTGGTCTTTCCATCCAACCACCCACCTGCCCGCACGGCCAGCTCTGTCAAGGCCAGGCCATTGGCTGTCAATGCATGTTCTCTCCCTGTTGCCAGTGGAAAATACTGTTGACATGATCTTCTCCTCCTCAGAGGAATTGACGTGAGTCACAGAATATCAGGACAAGTGTCAGTTGTTTCCTCTCTCTTTCTTACCCTCCCTCTCTGTCCGTCTGTATGACTGTCTGTCTGTCCATTCAAGGAGTGCTATGTCTCGCACCCTTCTGTTATCAACTCCTTTGTTGCTCATTTGCTCTCTGTTCCCACTGGCACTACCTATCTATTGTCCATGACATGTCTACTGCCAACAGCAGCATTGACTACACAAGTTCAAGTACACTTCGCCGCTTTCCTCTTTTGACATGACAATGATTTCTGAACACAACTTCGGAAGCTAGCCTCTCTTCCCGTCTCTTAGAAACGCAAAGTCTGATGAAATGGTCTGTCACATTCGTCCTTTTTTTTGCAGACTTTTGTTTAGTGAACGTGACTGCTCACACACGTCCGGAAGAGTGTTTCCGCACAAAGGACATTTAGTTCCCAGTCAGGTGAATATGGGGTATACAACCGGCATAGAGGATGTTGTTGGTCAACCTTAACTATGCATGTCCAAACTGGTTCTCCCCTTATGAGAGGTTATCTTGTCAATGGTAGCTGTCATTAGTGAAATAAACAACCTTTGACAGCGGATCCCCACCTCCGAACCCTCCTGTGTCTCGCCGGCCCACCAAAGTGAGGAGCACATCCTTGAGGGTCTTTATGGCAGGGCACGAAGGACTTGATGCCGGGGAAAATATCATCAACGTGGCAAGCCTTGTATGTGAGAGGCACTGTGAAGGGGGAGTTAAAAGAAGAATGAGAAAAATGAATGGTTTCAGTGTGCCCCTCATCTTTGTCTTGTTTTCTAATCTTTACCGTTTGTTTTGCGATGTGCACTCTTTTAGTTCATAGTTACGTGACAATAAATATTCCCCCCGTAGATCATGTTCAAAAGTCGTTTTATTGATATTCACTAACTTCCCTTGGCCAAATCACTCTGCAATATGTTTCAGGTCTATGGGCTGAAGATGCTTGTGAAGAGTTTTCTGCCATTGCGAGATTGCCCTCCACGGCCAAAGCTGAAGGGTTTGCTTTCAGTATTGGCTAGGCTGGTGGAGTGTGGGGAGATCAGTCCTGAAGTGGAATCAAGGTAATTCTCCAAAGATACGCATTTGCAGCTCTCTTGTATCAATGTGACAGAAATGGAAAACAAAAAAGAATGCCCAGACATGAGCCACTCTCAGTAATGCTACAGGTATCTAGCTGTCTTGTGCCCATTGACAAAGAAAAACAAGAACCCAAAAAAGTTAAAAAAAAAATGCAGACATGATCCACTCACGGTTCTTCTTTGTTTCTTCTTCTACGTGCTCTTACTTTCTGCTCTCCTCTCTCTTTCTTCGCTCTATTTCTCCTCCATGTCTTGCCGCTGCTGCTGATATTACTATGGCACTAGTCATTTTGCAAACATTTATCATGTATATGGATGCCACCATTGTTTTAACTTTCCTTCTACTTTTTTCATGGTTCTGCGTCATTGTTGTTGTCAACTGTCCCACATGTGACAATGCCCTTGCGATTGGAACCCCTAAAGGCAAGCTGTCAGAGACAAATAGAGACCAACTGTGCGTCTGGCCGGTTAACGAAGGGCAGTAAATGTCAGGGGTTGGCTGTCAGAGACAAATAGAGAGCAACCCCTAAAGACAAGGCAAAGCGCACATTAGAGATTCCACAACTAACAGTGAAGTTCTTTTCCTCTAGAAGTTTGTAACAGAGAGCTGTGATAACAGATGAAGACTGACTGCGCATTCCGCCGATGCACCTGAACATGTAACTAGATTACTTGCTTCGGAGCAGCTTCATAAAAAGAAATAAGGTGAGCCAACTAGACTTGTGTCGATATAGCTAACCTAAGTTTGAATCCGGATGGGTCCTCTGAATTTGCCTGGGACCGTTAAGTTCAGTACGATATCTTAAGGCCGTCAGCCTTTGAAAAAGGAAATAGCAAATCAACGGAGCCAAATAGAGATGAGGATGCAAGTAAGTGGCAAATGTTTACTCTCCATATTGTCTTCAAGAAAGATACAGCGACTGAGGCATCAATCTGGCCATTGATGGTGTTAGCATTCTCTTAAAAAAAAATACATTCTCCAGTGTTTCCACTACTAATTTGCCATTACAAGTGGCTATTTCTTCTGAGAGAATAGGATGGTGAAGATAGGTAGACACGGGGAGCAGGCATACAAGATAAGCAGCTGGTTGTGCTCAAGAAGACGCTAGGCCGAGAAAACTCAGTCCCTAGCTAGTCATCCATGTACTTTATCCCTGTGCTGTCCGGCAGGCTAGTTGTGGGTGATGCAGAGCAAACAATAAGGGGAATATAAAAGGGAAGGAAAGTTGGTACCAATTATGCAGTACTACGAAGACAAGTTGAGTAATATTGACTGTTCACTGTTCAGTATGGTAAACAATCAAGAGTGCTGTTATGCACAAACACATGCTGCACAGATTGAGAAAGAGCAACCGATAGATGAAACAAGTCCAAGCACAGGCTTAGCACAACAAGCAAAATATTCATGAAGGCACAAAGCGCAATCTAAGGAAATATCCCATGCATGTTTGCGCCTGGCTACCACTCCAGCCTCATGCGGCATCACACGACCTACCTGGCTGGACTTACTGAGGCAATCCACACAGCTAGCCAAGATGCATAGCTGGCCACATAGGCAAGCCAGATGGTCAGTCACGTGATATAGCTAAGTCCATAACAAGGCAAGCTGCATACCCAAGCCATATTTCGAGCTATACAGCCAGGGAAGCCAGTCAAGTGACATAGCCTCATGCGGCATCACATGAACTTCCTGGTTGGACTTACCGAGGCAATCCACACAGCTAGCCAAGATACATAGCTGGCCACATAGGCAAACCAGATGGTCAGTCAAGTGATATAGCTTAGTCCATAACCAGGCAAGCCGCATACCCAAGCCACAATTTGAGCTATACACATAGCCAAGCCTGGAGCCAGGCGAGCCCCATACCCAAGCCATACGGTCAGCAAACCCACTGAGCCAGGCCACACAGCCAACCCACATAGCCAGCTAATCCAGAAAGCCTATCAAGCCAATTCACTGGCGAAGCTACACAGCCAACCAATGTAACAACGCCAGACCTCGTACTGCAAGCATGCCAAATTTCTCATCCGTCCCCAGTGTGCTGAAGTTGTTCTCCTCTAATTCTTCCTCAAATTTTCAATGATACAGCTAATGTCTTTCGACTAATCTATATGGCCTGTCTGATGGTTCTTCCTCATGCGCTAAAGCTCTTATTCTTTCGGAAGACAAAACTATCTTTTTTGACTAATCTCTACTGTGTTTTCCATGGTTCTTCCTCGTGTACTAAAACTCTTTTTTCTTCGTGGAGACGGACCTCGATGGCCTCTTCCATGGTTCTTCCTCGTGTGCTAAAACACTTATTCTTCCGGAGGAAGAAGACAAAGCTGTTTTTGGCTGTGAACAACTCTATGTTGGAATATGACGTGTAGTAATTAGTGTCGTGACATGGATATCCTAACTAGCAGCTCAATGAACTGATATCCCGTCATCTGCTCTATAGCCTGTCACAGCACATGCACAATCAATGACATCCATGCGTTGCTTTGCAACCTTCTCCCGCTACGCTGGCCTTCTCAACATTTTGCTACCAATCTGTAACCTGTCTGGTTCAAGTGGACCTGTGCATAGGAACTCTCTGTGCAGGTAATCAACTTAATCACAAGGATAGACGGTGCTGCTCGCTCTGGTTTGGTTATACTCGCCTTTTTTTTCAAAACGAAGGGGGTGCCCCCTAACGTTATTGTATCCATCGGATACCAGCATATGTTCTGTTTACCCGCAGTAACATGTTTGTCAATGGCCTGGGTTTGGTTATTGTGTCCCTTTTTTTTCAATAAAGAAGGGGGTAGCCCATAGCATTGTTGTATCGATGGAAGCAAGTAGAATAGAGAGTCGTATGATAGGTGAGTATCTTGTACGGTTTGGAGAGGACTCGAGTATCACTGCTCTAAGGAATTGAAGGTAGTATTTTACTCATGCTAAGTCATGGACTGGTTTCTTCAGCCCTTTTTTTTTGTGTAGGTGCTTTATACGATCGACAGAAAACCGGACTTGTCAAGTATTGTGGAGGTTTAGTCAGTAAATTCCTATCTTCTGATTCTTCTCTACTATTTTTCTGTTTTTCACTCTAGCCTTGATTCTGTCGGGATTCAAACCCATGTGCTTCGATGAAGCAGAAGGTGTTTACCGACAGTTACATGTGTATGATTCAGCCACATGTGCTGGGTTTGGTTATACTGTCCTGTTATTGGGCCATGGAGAACTTATGTTGGAATGCCAACGCTTAGATCATCGGTCGGAAATTCAGATTGCCTAACAGTGCAGACGCTGCCAAGAACATTGTGCTATGAAATCTTAGAAGTTCAAAGAATAGATTATCTGGTATGTGCACGCATGTTCGGCCTCTGACGGCTTTCTCTGCTCTCTGATTCCTCTTGCAGGTGATAACTCCGACGACAGCCATGCCACCCGATCAGACAGCAAACGATGGAAGCCTTTTGCCTCTAATCCTGCTTGCACCTCCTCTCTTGATGGATGTCAACACCCCAGTCAATCAGGTTTGCCTGCAGGAATGCATTGCTAGCGGCGCGTGGGTGACAAGTGACCTCTCAATTGTGCAGTGCTCCTCTGTTCCCCTCGATAATGCCTTTCTCTTTCCTGCTGTCCATGCCCAGTTGTCCATCTCGCTGTTCGTCGTCATGCTCCTGACAACACATTACATAAACGCTTGTGCGTGCCCAGGTGCCCAGTTGTGCATCTCCCTGCCCTATGCCAATGCTATACATCCCTCTGGTAATAGCATTCCACTACAGGTAGTTGCAACTGCTGCGTATAATGTGCATTCACTCTCCAGATCTACACCCAGTGATGGGCAATCTTGGCAGGTGGGACCATTGTTTTTCTCCCAGTGATGGACAATCAGGGCAGGCTATATTTGCAATGACCACCGCTCTGCTGTCTCCATGGCTCTGCTGCATGTAATCCTGAATTGAGCACTTCTTTTCAGTCGATCTTTGACTCACGACCGCGTTGCTATGAAGTTCAGTCTATGTCATCATCCCAAGATGGCATGTCTGGCGTGCATTTGCTCAGTTGTCCCGTTGATGACATTACGTTCGAGGGGAACAGTTACTCAAGGTTGCAGATATGTGTTGTCGTAGACTAACAGCCCCACAGCATCTTTAGCCAACTGAATATGTGGGATATCCAAAACAGTGCTGCATCTGTGGACCCCCTTCTCTTGAACTGAGTACTACCCCCGCCATTGCTGCTTCAGGCCTCCCCTTGTCATCACCAATCTCTTTATACTCTGAGCGTTCCTCTGCTTCGTTCGTCATGCTTTCTCTCTCTCTCTCTCTTCCTCTCCTCTGTTTTTGCACTTTCAACGAATTCTCCACAACTGCTTGCCAGCATCATTCACTCCCTGGCATTCCTCTGCCTGGTTCATATGCATCTCTCCTCGCACCTTTGACCGATCCTCCACAACCGCTTGTCCAGCAATATTCTGTGGGGATGAGCTGCAGAGGAACATGATGGAGCCACCCATTAAACGGCAGTGGTTTATGTTGGAAATCAAGCTGCATTTTCCGCTTTGCACGCATCAGTGTCATATATCAAAGGTTCCGTGACCTGCCTATGACAGACCTGCCAAGTAGCTTTGACATGGTCAGGGCAACAGCACTAGGTACCACATTGATAACACGCTTTAGGTTGACCATGTGCTGGGACGACTACTATGATGGAATAACCTTCCATGACTTCCTTAAATATGCTCTGCCAAGTGTGCACCAGTGTTGCATTCTGCGTACCCAGGTAGGTGTAGGTTTTTGTGTAGGGCTGTACCTAGGCAGGGTCATGGCATAGGCGAAGACCTGCATGCTGGTGGAAACTTCGACCTCAGACACTAATGGTCGCGTACGGATGTTAAATATGCCAGTAACACATTTCTTAACTACAAAGTGAAAATTGACTCTTACATCATTACATGCAGCACAAAAGATACACAGAACCAAGTAGATAGATGAACAAACCCGGGGAAAAA